TTCAAGAAATCTGAACAAATCAATATATTTCCTACCTGTGTAATTTCAACTTCAAGTAGACTAGGGAATGCGAGATATACCTTTGGACACATCAAACTGATACTTGGGGGTTCAAGTTTCATTATCAGACAATCTGAAGTTACAAAACCAATTATTGAATGAAAATGTTTGTTAGAGAATCTCAAAATGAGACTATACACGTCATTTGTCGTTGCTTGGTTGGGCCTTGATACTTACATCTTCTGCGTTCTCAGTCCTGTGGTCCCCTTTCCAAGTGTATTTGATGGGGGAAGAGACATGTAAAAGGAACAAAAGGGCGACTTCTATATTTTTATGAAAACCGGAAGCGGGTGAGGAAAAATATTTTCTATCAAAAGTGTAATGGGAAGCCTCAACTTTTTCAAGTGAGGAGGGAGGTTTGGGCACCCTAGACCCGAAGCGTTATAATATTGCTCTATTGGCTAAATGACCTATGAAAGCGGTGTTAGCATAGCGTAAACACACATGGATTTCGTTTGTTGAGTACATATTAAGTGAGGAATGAAATTTGAAAAACCCTTATGACGTATGGTGTTGTATTTTCATTGAATCAACCGTAAAAAACCAAAATCTCGATTTTGGAATGACATTTTGAGTGTTTGGTGAAAGGTTTTGCCTTCTAATCTGATCCACCCACAGTCAATGGATGAAGTCATTGTGCAACCTATTTTTGATAACCCCCTCCTTTGTGGCTTAGATGGACTCCCCTTCTCGGCTCATGAATCTCCGGGGAATTTTAAGAAGCCATGAATTGAACGGGGTATAGTTCGCCTAACTGACCTTTGGGATACCAAAAAAAAATCCTCAGAATTAAATAATCATTATAAAGTAAAATTACATTCTAAATTTTAAAATTTCATTCCATCTTAAAAAATATCATCCCAATTTTAATTTTTTTCGTCTTACTTGAAAACTTTCCTTCCAAGAATGGGGTATCCTTTCTTATTTGAACTGCATGCTAGAGATGAAATGAAAGTCTGAATGAGTTCATGAAATATTTTAATTGGACTGTCATTCTAAGTAAGGATTTTCAGTCATAAATATGTTAATCCAATATAAATTATAAGATATTTTTTGTAGTATAATAAAAGTCTAATTAAAATATTTCATAACCTCATCTAGACTTTCATTCCATCTTGAACATATAAATGTAGTTGGAAGGGAAAACTCATATTTAGACGAAAACCTATCAAATTAAATTGGAAATTTTAAAATTGGACGAACATTGAAATGATAATTTATAAATATGAAGGATTTATTTTTATGAAATATTTTTTCAAACTTTTATTTATCGTGGGAATTTTTTCTGTTGTAGGGACTCGAGGGACTGGAGAACAAAAACCTCAATACGTAATTAAATCCAATGTATGATAAAAGTAGAAGAACACCTCGTAGATGTTTAAAATGCCTTACCACAGAGTTAGATGCAGATTCAGTATGGACAGTGAGCTCCTTGTGGATGGTTGAAGGTTCCAAGCAAACAAGTATCATATGTTTATTGGAACCTTCTAGGCCCTGAGATTGGGGGCGACTTTTCTGTGGAGGTATGGTCCGAAACAACTACCACTTCTTACTTCAAAGAAAAAATATAGATTCCTTCCCTGGAAGACGCTACTCAGGCGTTAACGGAAGTGCAAAGTCCAACGAAAGATGGGTTGGTGAGGCCACATGACACAGTTATGGACTGCCAACCACAAGTGAAATTAGTGGTACGAGGAAGGATACTCAATGAGATGACAATCCATTCATTTGAAGTAGGATGGATTGAACAGAGGTTGCTCAAGACAGTGGGTTTGAATCTCTTCTCAACTAAGCGAGGGGTGAACTTACTTCGATACAAAAGTAAAAAGAAACTGATGGACATAGTATTGCAAAGGCGTGAAGAGCAATCCCTACCACCTATAGGAAGAAAGGATCTTCTTACTCTTTGGAAATAGTTAAAGGTGCTACCATCTAAAAAACAGACCAGTATATTAATATTACATTCGTTGCTAGTTACTGCCTTAACCATAACCATAGGCATAGGAAAAAAAGAAAGAAAGAAAGAAACATAGAATAAGCATAGGCATGATAAGAAAAAAAAGAAATATAGGATAAACATAGACAGGATAAGAGAAGAAACATAAGATAAGCATAGGTAAGGTCTAGTAAAGCAATCATAAACATAGGCAGAGGAAAAAAAGAAAGAAAGAAACAAAACTTGACTAGAAGAAGAAGACCAAGGACACAGGATAAGCATGGAAAAAAACCGAACGCGACTGATTCATCAAACGACGTGAAGCACGGTGCGACAAAGTCGCAGGCGTAGGACCCGACCGATTTTGCGTGGCCACCGAACCACAACTCATCAAGGGTCTTGCGAAGTCACAGAGGACTTCCATCCAAATGCTTATATCCTGATCTAAGATAACCTACGCACTTCCCGAAACAAGAAGTCGCGGTCTAGTCTGAAAAAAACCGGTAACTACGCGGCTCAAAACGCGAATCCGTCTAAAAACAAAGGTCCGAATTCAAAATTCTCCAGATCTCGATCCACACTTTGTACCAAGCCTCATCAGACAATCCACAGCCTATCACACACAAAATAGGCTCAGTGGCAACAACCGGTACCACAACCGAACAGGAAATCACAACCAAGGCCACTACCTATCCTCACGATAACGGCTCAGGGTAATTCCGAGTCGAGTTGTGGGGTCCGTGACCCCGATCTCTTTGTATGTTCAAATAAATGTGCGACTTTACAAAAAAAAAAAAAAAAAAGGCAGCCTGGCCCTTACAGCAAACATAGCACCAAACAGTTTTTTCAATCAGGTTCTCATTTGCTGGGCGTCTACATCACCCTGACGAGGCCGGGTCGTAGATCTGAAGTCAACCATGAGATCTGGGGCCTTGCTGCACCACTTACCAAATGAACGAAGAACAAAAAATATGACAATGTATCTTTCCATTTTCTAGCAGAACATTCACATATAGCGATGCACATATAGCGACTGATGAACATTTTTTCGTGATACGAGAAAACGTGCACAAAAAAAGGGAACACAAAACGACACGTGAAAACCTGCACAAAAAAGGAACCACAAAATGACGCGTGAAAACGGAAAAGAAAAGGAAAACAAACAAACAAACAGCGCCCACGCATAACGGAGGGCTCTCCTCCGAGATAGTCCTCCGCATCGACGCCCGCCGTGTGGCCCGCGCTCAGGGCGCTCTCTCTCATATCGGAGGGCTCACCTCCGAGATGTTCTTCCGCATCGACGCCCGCTGTGTGCCCTGCCCCCGGGGTGCGCTCTCTCGTTTAATGGCGAGCTGTGAACATTTCGGCATGTGCACCCCTCTGCACTCTCCCCGGCCCTCGATCGCCTTCATCCACCGCGCCTCACCAAAACTTCAACCCGACTCCGGCGCGCAGGGCAGCAGGGCATCATGGACCTCCCCCTGCAGCCATATTTAGAGGGTGACGGTCTTGAGGTATCAGCAGTGGAACTGGCGGGCCCCAGGTAATTCACAGTGGCTTTATTCTTCTGAGTCTTTTTGACCATGTGGACTCGAGCACTGGTGGTCTTATCAGAAGCTCATGGTGGTCTTATCAAAAGCTCATGGCTGCTCCACCCAGCCACTTGGGCTCGGCTTTGGAGCTCCTCTACAGCATTCGTGTGCTGCGATAGATTCGCCGACCCAGACGAGATGGAACTGGAATAGCCGCTAAGGACCCAAATCTGACTGGCTGTCAGACTCTTCCTTCCTTTTTTTTCTCTCATCAAGACAGACGGCGGGAGTGCTGGGGCCATTACCCCAGCTTCCTTTTTGAAAGTCGGTCAGTGGGGGTTTCCCCTATGGTTGCTGTGCCGCACCACAGCAGTGTCTTTGTGGCAAACAGTGTGCGACAGCTGTTAGTCAACGGCCGAGATCTGGGTCACTTGGTCGAGGCCCATATTACGCCTTGCTCCACCACTCACCAACGTGTCCTTGTCACTTCGGAAGAGCCGACCCAGCCTCAGCAACTGAACCCAACGGAACCCAAGACCTCCCTAAAAAGAATAAAAAGTAAGAGGAAAAGAACGTAAATTTTCATGTACCCCCAGCACCAGCACACCACTGCCTCCTCGACCTACCGCGCCTACCGGTAGACCGTACCCCGTCTACATAACCACCTCTGGCTCCTCCTCCACATCTACCTCCACCTCCAGCAGCGTGAGCACCGCCCGAAGCAGAGCTCCACCTGCCAACCGGGGCCAAGTCCCATTAGCTTGGGTTCTTCATTTTTGGCGTTCGATCTTCATAATCTAGGGTCACAAATGAAGAATTAGGGTAAGTGGGACTTGGCCCCCGGCCTTCATTCATTTCTGGCCTTCGATCTTTGTAATCTAGGGTCACAAGCGATGACCGCCAGCCGCCATCGCTTGACGGAAAATGGAATGGGGGTCAGTGGAAAAACCAAAACCGTCGAATCGAATGGAGCTGGCGGTGGTTGATGGGATGGGAAAACCGGCCGGGATGTTCGGTATCTGTTCGCACAGATTGGCGCCTTGATTGTCGCTTGATTTCAGGCGGCGGGGCAGAAATGATGATGGCGAAGCTGAGAAAAGTCAGAGATCTGCATCAAGGGGCTCTGAGATCCAGAAAAACTGAAGTGCAAGGGCGGGAGCAAGGTCCCGCTAGCAAATAGGTAGGATCGGATTGAAGCGCATGAATCTGAGCGGGTTTCGAGCGGAGATGCAGAAATGCAACTCAATCGCGATTTTCTGCATTCCTCCAAAAGGCTCGTCCAGCTTCAGCAGGTGTCCAATCCAATCCTCTTTGCTATCTACCGATACCGATAGTGGTACCTGTGACGGGCAGGCGCAAGGGCAAGGTGGATTTCTTTTTTCCCCCCATCCATCCCCTTTTGCAGTGCAGAGGTCAATTTTATTTCTGTTTTCAAGACAAACTGGACAAGATACTGCGCGCTTTGGAACACAGAGCGCCGACCGACAGTAGTACTCGGAAAAAAAAAGCACGCGCGCGCCCGGCCGCCTCTGTTGTCGTCGTTGCAAAACCTGCCCTACGCCTTTCCTCGTTCTGATCCTTTCCAGCTTTCGCCGCCCGCCTTCTTCCTCTCCCTCCTCCGCCTCCTCCACTCTCCTCGTCCTCTATCTCCTCCTGGTCGTCCGGCATCATCATCGTTGTCGTCGCCGTGTTCGCACTGATCATCATTGCGGCCTGCTATTCGAGCAGAAGCGGGCGCTAAGGTAGCATCGCAGAGTCGTGTCAGCGTCATTACCGAGGGAGAAGGGGGGAGGAGTATCAGACGAGGGAGGCGGTAGCATATTGGACAATAATTGCCCCGTCGGTCGAGGGCTGGTGTCGACGGCCGGCGGTGAACAATGGCGGCGGGCTCAAGGAGGCGTGACGAATCCTCCTCTTCTTCTTCCTCCGCCCCCTCCTCCCCCTCCTCCCCCTCCTCCCCCCGTTCCTCCTCTTCTTCTTTCCCGCGAGACGGTGGTGCTGCTCTTCTACTCACGGCGTCTCCGATGCCTGCCGTTCTTACTGTCCTTCTCCTGTGCTGCTTCTCCTCCTGTTCCTTGATGGCAGTCCAAGCTCAAGTGGAAGTTCAGCCCGTGGTGAACGTCTCTAATACCAACCCCGCTCCAAACCTCTTGCCATCGCAATCGCAGCCGTCCGCTTTGCCGGAGCAGTCCGCCACCGCCCCTGCAGTCCTCTCCGCCTCCCCCGCAGTCCCCTCCGCCGCCGGCATCGTTTCCGCCCCTGGCGCAATTCCTTCCTTTCCCCCCACTGGTATGTCCGCCGGGCCCAGTGTAATGCCGCCTGAACAGTTTCCCGTCAACTCTTTGCCTTCCGCTGTGCCCTCCGCACCCGCCGTTCCCGGTGTTCCCGGTGTTCCCGGTGTCCCAGGTGCCGTAGGCGGAGCAGGTGCTGCTGCCGTTCAGACCCCCACGCCGCAAGGGTCCACCGCACCTATACCTGTTGCTGGTCTTCTGCATGGAATCTTTGAATGCGGTCTTCCAGATCCTAGCCTGCCTCAAGACAAGCTCAACTTTCCTTTCGACTGTGCGGCAACAATCAGCAATAGGTACGTCTTTGCAGCGTTTGTGTGCTACCTGCTCCACTCCTCCCCACATGCACACATGACAAGGAATACGGCCGTGATGTATCTTTCGATGTTCTAGCGGAAGGTTCATTCATTATTTTGCACATTTGAGTGAGTCGTGGAACGAGGCCCAATGTGTACTATCTGCCCGTTTTGAGCTTTTTGTTATTTCCGTGTCGGTTGCTGTGATGTGAATTACCTTGCAATGAATGGACTGTTTGTTACCATTTGGCCTTTGCTATTCTGAACTCTGCTTCATGTCGACAGATTTTGAAAACACTGGTAATGTATATCGATAGCTGTAGTGATGCTTCGTGCCGCTGTCAAGAGATTAAATGCAATGCCTTTTCTTGCTGATGCACTTGAATAAACGAATGAAATCAGGTCTCTTCCTGCAGCAAGATTAAAAAATTTTGTTTTGGTGACGTTTCGTCCGACCGTTGATTAAGTAAATTTTGCAGTGGTGATGGTACTGAAGGCATGTAGTCACGATTTGTGAATCTTTCTGGCAGTACCCTACTGCCAAGACGGCCAGATTCATTTGAGAAAGTCAGGGAGTGAGTACGCTCTAAGGGGTGTACTGATGAAACCTGGTCTCGTCGTCTCTTTTTTGTCCGTTTCCGTCTGCCTCCGTAAATTCCTCTAGTAAGAGGTTTCTAAAAAAATACTAATATTAAAGAAAGAAAGAAGACAATTTCAGACGTCCTCCTCCTCACCATTCTTTGCCGGTAAGCTTTTCCAGTCTTCGCTTCGAGAATACATTCTCGTTCGCTAAGTTAGGGAAAAGAAAGAATTCCATTCGTTGTACCATCATTTCCAATTAAAACTATTGAAGTCTTTCTTCTCTTCGTTTTTACATTTGCAACAAGAGATATTCAACGTGTATCTTGGTTTATCTTCGTTACTTTTGGTATTTTAATATCGTCGGTAATCGTCGTCATTGTATTCGTTTCTTTTTGTTTTTGTCGTTATTATCGTTGTAGAATTAGCTAGGGAAGAAAGTATATTCATTCTATTTTTCCAGTTATCCAGTATACGTCATCCGAAGATTCATGCTGGATTCTATTTTTCCAGTATACGTCATCCGAAGATTCATGCTGGGGAAGTGGGCGAATTTTTTAAAGTGGTGTAATAAAAGAATGGCACTGAATCTAGAAGACGAAAGTGTAGGAGTTTGTCATTTGTGGTTTTAGGGGGTAGACTGTGATACTGCCATTAATTAAAGAAGGAAGGATATTCTTATTTACGTTGAGTGTGAGCAGAGTAGAATAGAATAGAATAGAATAGAATAGAGTAGAATAGGATAGAAGAAGACGGTCTTGCCTGCTGCTTGCTATTTCTGGTTCTCTCTCGTGCTGCTTGGAGTTGTGATGGTCGTGCTTAGGGAGTGTTATTTTAGAGTTGTAGAACCGAAATTGAATGACGAACAGAGGGAAAGAAGGTGGGGCAGGGGCAGAGAGCGATGATAATGCTGTCTGCATTTCTTCTCCCCTCCCCTCCCCTCCCCTTCCTTTTCCCTCCGTCCCTCTCCATCCGGTTATCTAATTGCTTTTCAGATTTTCTGACTCTTAAGTGTAGAAAGGTTGAAAGGTAGGAAAGGAGTTGAGTCGTCGTCACCGGAAGAAAGGGGGTGCCAAGTTTGTCCAGGGAATCGCCTCTCGTCTTTCTTTCACTTTGTTTCTGTCGACTGCAAATCTTGGCTGAGTAGTGATATCAGGTCTTGCGTCCATTCATTCATTCATTCATTCGGTCATTCATTCATTCATTCGGTCATTCATTCATTCATTCATTCGGTCAGTCAGTCGTTAATCTGAATGAATGGAGTTCGTTTATTTGTTTGATTAAGTGGTTCCATTCGTTCCATTCATTCATTTGTTACATTCCCTTATTTCTTTGTGTCATTCATTCTTTTGTCTCTTTCATTCCTTTGTTCCGTTCATTCCTTGGTTTCATTCGTTGTTTCATGCACTGTTTTTTTTGTTCGTTCATTGATCTGTTTCATTTATTCGTTGGCAATTTAATTCGTTCGTTCATCACCTAATGAGGCGGAAAACAGTGTCACGCAGACTTATTAGATTCTAAAGAGATGAAATAAGTGCAATTTTTTTGGTTCATCGATCGGTTCCAGTTATTCATTGACGAATTTAATTCGTTCGTTCATCACCTAACGACTCGGAAAATACAGTGTCACAGACAGAGTGACACGAAATAATTGCATTAGAGATGGATAGGGCTCTCGGTAACTCTTTACTTGTGATACGAGTCGTTCTTTTGTTTCGTTCTGAGCTTTCCCTCAGTCCCCCTTCGCCTTCCCCTGCAGACGTTTTGAGAAGTCTCCCTCAGTCAGCCAGTAGCTAACTACTGCCCTTGACGAGAATGCGAATGCCTGTTGTACTGGAAGTGGCGGCGGGAGGTAGGTAGGTAGGTAGGTAGGGAGGGAGGGAGGGTGGGAGATATAGGGAGGGGGAGGAGAGGGAGGTTGGGAGTCCCATTAAGTCGAAGGTAGAGCAGCTTCTCCGTCCAATTCGATGTGGCATGAGGTGACGTGGCATGATGCGGAATGACACGGTGTGGTCTTGGCTGCGAGCAACGTGCGCCGCCGGTTGACCTGCTGGCATGATGTGGCATTGTGTCGGCGTGGCATTGTTGCGACCCTCTGCATGCCATGGCTGCGCCGGCTAACGTGCCTGCATAGGTGTGGGGTCTTGACTGCGAGCAACGTGCGCCGCCGGTTAATTTGATGGCATGATGTAGCATTGTGTCGTCGTCATTGTTGTGACCTGGCATAGTGGGCCACGTGGAGCGTGTAGAAAAGGCCTGAGTACATGTCGCGACCTGGCATGCTATAAATTGGCTCGTCTCGGTAAGTAGCGGTCTGGAATGGCGTGGCAGTGTTTTCGTCAGTGGACGGCTTAGCGACGAAGTGTGTGTGGGTGAAGAAGAGATACTCGTACACGTACAAGGAAAAACGAAAATTGAAAATCAAATACGCGAAATATGTTCATTCAGTAATTGTTGAGTCCCCCCCCCCCCCCC